TCATGTTTGGAATCATAACAGCTTCATGAAACCGGTTACGCAGGATTCCCAATCGTATCCCGAGGAGAGCCGGACTAAGTTGAACCTGTTTCGTGACGGACACCTTGCACAGCTGTTGAATCTCTTTGGCTCTTTCTGTCTAATTGATGAGCTGCCGCCGAGGTGTACGCAAAAGCTGGCACAAACTCACGCACTGATACCTCTGCTTCTCCTCGCAAAGTGAATCTAAAATTAGCGTTTCTAAACCAGCGGATCAGAGCTGCACTTTCACCCCTTTTTTTAAAAAATTTATTTATTTTTTTTCCTCCTCCGCTGAATCACCATGGTGACACTTTACACGTCATTTACTTCAAATCACATCCATTCATGCCTGGAGTGTCTTTGTGTTTGTTGAGATCTAGTAGCCTGATGGTCACAAAACACTTACGAATCTCCTCTTGTGTGCCAATAGATGTAGTCAGTGTCACACTTCTTTTGCTTTCCACTGAACATATTGTGTCACCAAAGCTGGGCTGTGGCAGTTTTCCCCATTATTTGTGGGAAGGCTCTTAGCGAAGTGTGCCTGAAAATGAAATCAATTAAAGTGAGAGAGATGGAGGAAAAAGAGAGAGAGAGACACACACACACAGAGAAGTACATAAGAGAGAGAATAACATAAACCAGATGTAACACAAACCAGCTGCCCCTCAATCCAATTCTGGAGTTGTCAAATGTCAGATTACCTCATGGACTTGGACAAACACACACACACACAAGCATAGAAAGAGGGAGAGTGGGGAAAAATAACCCTGTGTGTAATATCACTTGTTGTTCAGAGATGATGCTACTTAAGGGCTATCAGATGGCCAACACTGTGTGCTAGGAGGCTGCCTAATGGTGACCTCAGTGCTGTGAGAGGCTGTCGGACATCTTACGCAAGTTTGAATGATCTCATCTGTTTTCTGCTTCGAGTCCTCTGTTCATTTTCTCAGCAGTGTGTATTTTAGCTCATTAGTGTCGCCGGCTCATTCTCGGTTTTTTCTATTATTGTACCTTGAGGTGGCGTCTCGTTTTTTTTTTTTATCTGTTACACACGAGTTCTGTGTTATGTGTTTTTGTTGAGCTGTCAAAGCGCTTTGCGAGCTGTTATTAGAGTCTTATTTGTGGTTTTTTTTTACTTCTGCCTTGGTTCCTTTGTTTCCCGTGTTTGCTGGACTGTGGTGTGGTCTGTTGCTTCATTTATCACCTCACACAATCCCATTCAGTGTCATACTGTGCGTGCTGCTGTCGCCGTGTTTGCAAGTGAATTTTCCTGGTTGGTTCGAAGCTGCCAGGGTATGTTACTGTAACCATGTGCAGGTCGGCTTTAATTCACAGCAGCTAGGGGTTGATGCTACTACGTTGTAAGGTGAACGGTGAGGATCCGGCTCTGTTTGAAACAGCACCACCTCTCCTGTGTTTGATTATAAAGGGAGCTATATTTAGTTGCTCCTTGGCAGCAGCTTCTTCTGCTTGATTAAAGCTAGGAGAAGATTTGCCTGGTGGCTTTGGCCCTCGCCGGCTGACTGGCTGAATGACAGAGTGAACGACAGGCTGTCCAGTTGGTTGTTTGCTTGTTGGTTGGCTGGTTGGTTGGTGGACCGACTGCATGAGTAGGCATCTGAAGGATGAGAAGACAGCAACTCACTCTTCGCTTGTGACTTCTTGAATGCTGCATGAGACAACCTCGTAACCAAATAACAAATCGCAAGTCAGGTTTCTTAGGCAACACTTTCAATAAACAGAGTTTGATTTACGGAAAAAAAACAGGCGACACAAAGAACAAACACAAGATGCAACCACAAATTTCAAGAAAAAGAGGCCAAGTATGTGTGTTTCGCAAACGGCTGTGAAAGCACTAGACAAGGATGTTTTAGTCCAGGGATTGTCAGAGTCTAACACACTTCTCATGATGCTTTGGTGGATGTAAACAGAAAGTATAAGGGCAGCCTATAATTGTTTACATTTTGTCAAAAGAAGCACGCTGAATCAGCTATTAGCGGGTCCTGTTTGCAGTGTACCCTTGGATTTACAGACAACTGTCACAGGATTTCTTTGATGCTGGAGAAAACGTAAAAACATTATAATTCTCGGGCGAGTTCTGAAATATAAAGAGCATCAGTTTCTCTGTGATTTCTGAGCAGATTTCATTTTTTTAACAATAGGCATCAGAGATAATGATATTCTCGGGAATTATGTCACACTGATAAAAAAAAAAAAAGTATGTGTGTGGTATCTGTGTGATAAGAGTTAAGAGGAGTTCTGGCACAAATTGCAGCAATCAGGGCTAAGAGTTCTGAAGTACCTTAATTGCCTCCATGAATTGTGCGTCTCAGCCGCTGCTGCAGCTCCAGCTCCAGCTCCAGCTGCTGACTGTGTCGATAAGTGGGACAAATGAAGGAGACAAAAACAACATCTCGGTTTTTCTAGAACACCATCACGCACCGATCTCTTTCGCCTCTCTCTCTCTCTCTCTCTCTCTCTCTTTCCGGCTTTTTCCCTGGGGAGTTGCGCCTCGTAGTTTTAAAAAACCTCTGCTTTAGCCTGTACACTGTTATAGTAAACACTTGGAATGACTCTATTTGTAAGCATGCGGCCTGTTTACATCTCAGAGGTGCAGTAGGTCTGGGCTCCACGCCTCCTCAGTTTTAATCCTCCCAGTTGTTGCCTGGCTCCTGCAGCTTGGAAACAATAAGACGCCTTTATTGTGAATTGTGTTCATCTTGTGACAGGCTGACTCCATCGTAAATGGCTCACTAGCCTCCCACCTCTTTCATCTTTTTACCACATAGCAATTAATGATCACATTACAGGAGTGTTGTGTCTATAGTAATAGAAAAATAACACTTTCCTTGTTGCTCGTCGGCTTATTGCAGCTGTGGAGAGCGTTAATTCTGACTACTTTTCCTACTGTAGCTCTGAAGCTAACGTCCAGGTCCACCCAGGAATGAGTTTAATTCATTTCCCTTCATTGTGGATGATGTAAACCATGTTGAAGCCCCATGTATTATACTCTGTCATCTGTTTGTTTGATAAAAATCAAAGCAGTGGGAGTATGTCATGTCTTTTTTTTTTTTTCTTTTTTTTTTTCTGCAGATGGGAATGATCACACTTTGACTACAATAACAGACGATGTTTAAAGATTAATAGACAACTGATTTTACATTATACACCAATTATAATTCACATGCATAAAGATGAGGGATTCTGACTGTCCGCCAACGTTAGTTATGGGTCAGCGCTCCACTGCTATGTAGCTAAAACATGCAGGGAAAATTACATGTGCAGGCAGCTAACGCGATATTGTTGAATAGTTTTAATTGTCAAAATGTTATATACAGTGACAGAGAACACAGACAAATGACATATGTGATGTTTTTAACACATAGTTTTCGCATGAAATTGGCGTTAATTAACTACAGGGGATCTGAAAGTCTGAAAATGTGTCTGCTAACGGCGTTATCACACTGTCGCGCTGCGGCTCACACCCTGATACCAACATAAATAAGCTCAACACAATCTCCTCGCAGTGAATGGAAACTTGTGTTGCTAGCTGCTGATGTTTTTAGTTGTAGTACTCTGTCTGTGGCACGTCATCACCTCTCTCTTATCTCTCATTCTTCCCCGATACACACACCTCCAAGCCAGCGAGCCAGAGTGTTGGTGAAATATATTTTTCACTCTAATCTATTTGAAAGCAGCGAAGGAAAAAAAAGAAAAACAAAAAAGTAGTTCACCAGTAGAGAATGATTCCCTCTGCAAATAGACTGAACCGACGAGGAACATGATGGAGGAGCCTCTGGCCCACGCTCCACCCCCTCCCACCCAGGCTGACACAGTGCGGTAGCCACTGATTAGTTTCATATACAAACACACACACACACACACCTCCATAAACACACACACACACACACACCCTGCTCCTAAAACACCACCCACAAACTCATTACATCAGTGCGGTGTTCGCCTCGGAGCTTTTATCTATTCACTGCACAGCCTACCGTTCTGCATTATTTATATTCTGGATATAAAGGTCAGTGGTGATGACGTTAACATCTCTGAATGGGGTATCAAAAAGGTGATTATATGGAGGGGAAGCCTGCGTGCAAGCCATGAATGTTAATCCTGCACTGATATTGGCTTCCTGGGATATTGAAAGCAAACAGAAAACATATCGGAGCGATTTCACTGCAGATGCATGAATTTTGTTTGTTGTGGAAAGCAAACAGTTTATAAAACAAATGCTTTAAATGTTCCTTTGCTTCACTGTGATCTAGTCAGTCATCCGTGACCACAAAGTAATGGACCGTCTCCAGCTGTCAATCCAAAGGCTTACAGAGATGATGCATCTGACCCCAAGTGCTTAGGTTATACCACAAACTGGAAAACAGTTTACATAGCGTGAGTCCACACTCAAGCCACGTCAATCTGTACTTCTGCAGAGTGAAAAGCCAACATCGGCATGCTGAGATGCTCAGGATGACAATGCAACACGTGGTTGTTTAGCAGGCATAGCCTCTGTTTGAGTCGTCAGAGATAATACAGCCAGAAAATCAGATTTCATTACTTTTTTTTTTTTTTTAAGATAAACTTAATCAGAAAACAGGAAAAGACACAACATGCTGAGTCATCAAGTAGATGCCATCACCTTTGCTTTGCCACGTCTTTATTTACCTGATTGTCGGTCTGTCTGTCAAGCTAGATGGGAAACTTTCTATGACCTGCTTTTCTCACCACTATTGAAAACCCACAGACCCCCCCCCCCCAAAAAAAAAAAAAAATGAAAAAAAAGAATAAGAGGAAGACATTGTGAACTGCGGGGCAAGAGTGTGTGTTCCTTAAATGTTAAAGTTTGCATCTGTATCGTCTCCAGTGTGCCGATCTTATGTCCTGTTAAAGCTACAGACAGTGAAAGACTTTCTGGCGCTGACTATCTTGACCTTATTGATTTTCTCTCTCTCTCCCTCTCTCTCTTCCTCCAGACCTCCTAAATGGAGCCCAGGAGAAGTGCGAGCTGCCGCCTTTGGATGGTTTCCCTCACTGCGAGGGCAAGCTCAAGGTGAATCACTCACACAAACACACACAAAAGACAGCATCTCCGCCTCACTGTGTGTCTGTCTTTCACTGTTTTTATTACTGTGAGTGTTGTTTTAAATAAGTAAAGAGGAAACAAGGAATGTAGCCTGAGAATGAAAACAGCACCGCCTGCCGAAATTGAAACCACATAACCAGATGAAGATGGCATCATCATACCCACAAGCCCACATCCTTTGACTCGCAAATTGTCTTCCGGGAAATGCAGAACAAAAACAGCAAAAGCCTAAACAACGTCGCTCATTACCGCCACAGTGTTTGAGCATCAGTCCTCAGTTAAGTAACGTATTGTGCCGATATGATATGAGTTTTCAAGGCAGTGGTGTGGACGGATGATTTGAAAACAGTGCATCAGTTTGATGTTGATGGATTCAGAAATGCGTCTGTAGTCGTGATGCACCTGTTAAAACTGTGAAACTGCATCCGTGACCTTATTGCAGAAATGCAGGTGTTTCGGAATAAGTTTAAGAAAATTATTCTCTTCCCTCAGAGTTTCGGTTCATCATGGAGCTATTAGCAGATGGACGAGCGCACAGAGCGAGACGGGAAAACACTGAGAAGAAGAGACCGGTAGTTAAAGATGCAAAAATTCCATCAATTATCAAAGTGGAACTGTGCAACCTTTGAAAGATGAGCTAACACGTCCCCCTCCTGCAAATTAAAAGTTGAATTCATAAGAAATAAAACGCACTCTTGCTCACATCAGTGCACTCAGGGGTTTTGCTGCTGCAGCTTTACTTGGTCTGGTGGATATCACAGCGGACATTGCTTAGTCAGATTCATTTTTGCGAATGTAACGTTACAGATTTTTACATTATCTCCCTCATAAATTGTCACTCATGGGGAAAGAGGCACCTGTTCAGCAAAAATTACACAGACTTTCTTTAAATATGCATCTATAAAAAGGCTTGAGCCACCGCTTACAAGGTCTTTATGATTATGTTTTACTTTATTTTCAAATGGCAGTTATATACCTCTGTGTCTTCATCAATAGTTGCAGCTTTATCTGATTCACTGTTGGCATAATAATGTTATGGCTAACCTGATAGCAAACAATTACCTGTTTACACGTGTAACCACATGACAGCAGTTAGCGGGGTGGAAGACTGAAAGCCGTTTAGGTTTAATTTCACTTTTAGGGACAATGGCACTCCACACACAGACACAGGTGCAGGCTCACAAATAACATAAACACACAGATGTACACACAATTGCAGCTCAATGTCTCAGTGTGTGTGTGTGTGTGTGTGTGTGTGTGTGTGTGAGGTTCTCCCTGGAGATGATAAGGCCCTATCATACACACCATCTGCTCAGCCAGTCCCAGTCCTCCACCGATACTGTCAGCATTTCCAACTGGGCTCCAGGATGCCAAAGCTTGATCTGTACAGGCACACACACACACAGACACACACACACAAACAGACACACACAAACAGACACACACACACACAGATTGTACATGAGCCTGCTTTTTCCTTGCACCATTTGAGAAAGGCATCAAAATTCACTAAACTGGTATTACACAGCAGTTTCACTATCAGCGCTCAGTTTAAATAAATATACTACAGTCTTTATACGCCTTCACTATCCAAGCGAGTCCCATCCAAGCCCATCTGCCAAGTCTCCCCTCTGTGAACAGTTTTGAATGGTCAGTTTTTATATTTCCCAGTGTGTTGCCCATGTAGGTCTCTGTCAGTCAGCATGCACGACGTACTCGAGCCTGTGAACTAAGCAGGATAGCTGTCAGTCCACATCTCAGCTCAATAGCCCTTTGCCTTTGCATGTATATCCTTGTGTGCCAGGGATCAAATCAAAAGAGACAGTAACACTTTCTCTTTCAAGATCCAAACTCGACGAAAAAAAAATATTTTTTCCGGAAATTTTATTGAGGATATGTGTTCCCCCGAACGCCATTATTCACATCGATTTGCATACGCGCGAGAGCTGCACCAGAACAACCTCGCTCTCCTCCCGTTTGGCAGCTGAGCAGTTCCGCTGGAATATTTTCACATGTATTTAACGAAAGGGGAAAAAAACCTGTCCCCTCTTTTATTTTCAAACTCCAGATTTTTTCCGTTTTGATTCCAGGGATCGAAGCCAGTCACTATCTTGCGTCTCTAACCTTTCAGCGGTCACTATTTCCACGAGGATGGTGGAAAAGTAGAAAGGAAGCTGGTGCTATAGATTTTGTAAATGTGCATTGTGTATTCTCGCAGCATCACAACCTGCTCCACCACAGCTCAGTGTGCAATGCAACATCAACCTGACTTCTTCTGCTATTGAAACCTCATATTAAAGTTTGTGCTTCTGTTCCTCCTCAGTGGATGAAGGAGATGTGGCGCTCAGACTCCTGCTACGGCAACTACGGTGTGGATGGATCCACCTGCTCCTTCTTCATCTACCTGAGTGAGGTGAGTCGTGTGTGTTTATTGTAACCAAACACATTAAGATATTGACTTTTCAGGGTTTTCTTTGGTGGTATAAAATTTTTGAATATTCACTCGTCAAGTTTCACTTCAAGTTTGGTGCAAAGTTTCATTTCTCCAGTCAAGTGGAACATCTGTGACATTTAACCTACACACTTCATGGTTTATTAAGTCTTTCGACTTTTGTTCTTTTTAAATTTCGGTTGATTCCACTTTATTTGCATATCGAAAATGAACATACAAACAGGTGCATTCGAAACTCACTTCCTGTAAACTGGTTAAATCCAGATGTGTAGGTGACAGAAAAGTGTTTGGTCGAGCCACCAGCAGGTCATCAAGGTGTCAAACACGTAGGCTCAGATCATAATTTTCACATTCTCACTTCCTCTGGCTCTAAGTTTCAGACACATTTGTTGTCACTGAAGTTAGATCTGGTCACAAATGTGTGCTTTAAGTTTTAAAGAAAGCTGAACGATTTCCTAAAACAACACGGCGCTGTAGTTTTCATCAAACGTTACTCAAACAGGTGGAAATAGTGCATTTGTTGGGGACTATTTTCTGCTGGGGAATAACACACATTTGGTTCTCTAGTGAGTATTTCCAGAACGTAAACCAAAGTGAGAAAGATACGTCAGTTTAAATATGATGGGAACATTTAAAATTTCACTTATTTAGCTCCTATTATTCAGACTTACAGTGACGAGTATAGTAAGTAAGATACGATCGGTGCAACACAGCGGCACCAGAAAGCTGGATGTTTCACAGGCACAGTGCCCCCTGACAAAATTCCTGTAACTTGAGAATGATCACATAAGAATGAAGCGCTAAAAATAAGAGCAAAGGGGAGAGGTAGAGGCGATTTCATTTTTCATGAGAGCAAATTAGAGCTGGTTGAAGGGGACGGTGTGCGAGTAAGAGGAGATGATTCAGCGGGTGGGGAGGGAGTCGAAGGGTTGGTGTGACGTACTTCCTGAAGAGATGACTTTTAAGTCTACAAGGCAAGACTTGGAATGACTTTGCTACCCTGCCTCAGTCTCTACATATCCCCGACAAACAGAAAAAAGCAGCCAGATCATACATTATTGACGAGCACTAACATATAGAGGCTCATGTTCCTTCAAGGGACACTTTGAGACTCTCAATTTTGCATGATTTGTCTTTGCCAGGCCTTTGCCAGATATTAATTTCTTGGCATTTGTTCTAATTAAAGTCTAATGTAGAAATTGATCAAGTTGTGGGGAAAAGGTTTTAATATTTGCCTTTCAGATTCTCTGTAATAGCTTTCATTCATCCCCGAAACGCAACGAAAATTCAATCCGATAATGGGTTGCTTTTACACATTTCCCCTCACCATCTGAATACAAATTATGTGCCGACGAGAGGCTGCTTTCAGATCTGTTTTACACTCTTTAAACACTCATATTCTCAGATCCAGAAAAACATCTCTGCTTCCCATAAGATGCGATCGTGTTTTATCATTTCAAAGATCCTTCGTAGATCATAGCTATGATTACTATTCTGTTTGATTTAGATTCTACAGTGTGTATCTCGCTCCCCCCCTCGCTTCTACTGCACGGATATCTGTCTATATAAGTTGTTTCATCAAGCTTGTTTTTTTTTTTTTTGTGGTGGAGAGCTATAACTTGTCTTTTAGAAATGTTAACTAATGGCAAAACTTTTTTTTTTTTTTATTTTATTTTATTTATTTTTTTTGAAAAGTAAGATTTCAGCTTTGGAAAGGTCAGCAACCTGTTATGAATATTGTATATGAGCTGAAAGCATTGTAGTCAACTTAAGAAGGAGCACAGAAAGCCCGGCCTGCTGTGTATGGAAATAGAAGTGAGATGGGCAGCAGCAAAATCCATTAGGAGGAAAGAAAACCTCTTCTTTCTTTTCTCTCTGCTCATGGAAACAAACAGAATTATTTGCCATAAAGAACAGTTCAAGTTCTTCTCCAGACATGTTTTTAAACTCTGTAAAAATCCTCTGCAGTGACTAATGTTTTGTTTAACATGGTTTTCCCCACATTAAAAAAAATAGTGGAAAACTGGGGCTGGAAACACATCTACTCACTTGCTAATTGAGAAATTCTGGATCAGGACATCAAGATGGTTAGTGGAGGAAACATCGGAGAAAGTTGTGACCAAAATTGACGTATCGGAACGGTTAGCGCAGTTAGCATCTTTTATTTGTTTATGTTGTTTGTTAGCTTGTAACTTGTGTAACCTTAGGTTTGTGACGTATGAAACTGTCAAAGTTGGAAATGCGCAGCCACGGCCTCGACTTGACTCAAAACAGATGTATCTACTCTCTGTGTCTCGATTCCTGTTACTCTAACAGCCTCTCAGCCTCCACCCCTGGTCGTGTGATCTCACGGTTGCCGCGGCAACGTGCATGTATTTCCATGTAGAAAGCAGCTGTGATGGGTCTCTCCATCCATCGTGGCTCGTCTGATAAGAACGCCAGACACTCGGGCTCAAACACACGCCCTTTGCCATGTATAATTCATACATGTCGACCAACGTATTAACCTTGCGAAGGGGGCAAACCAGAGAGGGCGGGCGTCTCATGATGGATGTCAGCAGCAGAAGGTCAAGGTGCTCAGCTCGCACGGTGTGTATGTGTGTTTGTGTGATGTGGTTCGAGAGGGAGAATAAACACCTTACCTTGTCTCCCGCAGCTCTTACAGAGCTGTTTTTAAGTGTCTGTTATTGCTGAGATAGACAAAACACACACTTCTGTGTAACCTGCTCTGTGGTCATACGCCAATCATGCGCAATAAAAGAGGAAGGAAATGCTGAGACAGAGAAGTACAAGATAAGGAAGGGCCCACTTTAATCACATCAGATCATAGTGAGATCAGTAAATGCCGGAACAGTGAGAGTGATGTCTGCACCAGACGAAATACCCACCTATTAACATCTCCTCTGTGTACATGTGTGCATCACCTGCCTGTAGTTATTACAGCCCGTTGTTTGCTTCTTGCTCGTTGCCACTTTTTGCTAAATGGTGAAAGGAAGCTGTAAAAATGTTGCAGGAAATTAAAAGTTTATAGGTTCTTCAGCGGCTCTCTGTTCACACCGCGAGCAAAACAGAAGTTATAAGATTTTTCACAGGTTTTTTTAATTTTTATTCTCTTTCTCTTTCATTGTTTTATTTTTTGGATATTATGGATCACAGTATATCCAGCCTAGTGAAATATCACCGGTAATACTCAATTCAGTACATTCAATACCTACTATTTCCTCACATATATCCTCCCTCTCGTGGGATGAACACACGCTTGCAGCATCAGTACACGCTGACGTTTATTTTGACTCATTCCCTCATACATCATCCTGCTCACTGCAGCACCGAACGTATTATTCTGCGGCTGAAAATAGTCCCCAACAAATGCCCTATTTCCTCCTGTTTGAGAAACATTGGTTGAAAAAACTACAGTGCTCAGCTGTTTTTTTTTGTGTTTTTTAAATCACCAAGCCTTTAAAAAAAAAAAATGAACAGTATATTTGTGAGCTGTTTTTAAAGCTTTACATCTTCACAAGAACCAATGGGCTTGGGGCTGAGAACCACAGACAGGCAGGGAAGTCAGAAAGTGTTGAGAGATGGTTCGTTCTGGTGTTTTCGTGCCCTTTTATTGACAGTAACAAAATACAGAGTATTGCAAGCCTTGTCCTTCAAGTTTAACTTGTTTTGTTGTTTCCCCCACAACAAAACACTTTGTTCTCCACTGAATTGATTTGTGGACTTACGCAACGCAGATCAAAAAAGCCCAACATCAGGTCTTATTTAACTGCTTTTATGCAAATCAGATGAGCTGCAGCTGTTCTCATTTACATATTTACTTATGTAGTCTTAGTGGCCCACAAGATGTAAAAGTTAATGCAAAGTTTGGCCGTGAGTTGCAGCAGGCTTAGTCCGTGTTAGTTTTCTACACAGGTGACCCCAGCCCTACGTGCCTTTATATTTGTCTGTGCATCATCTGTCATGGTATGACTTTGTGTTCTTAAGTGCCCGCCCTCTTACTTGCGTTGTGTTATCCTGTTTTTGATTTGTTGAACAGGTGGAGAACTGGTGTCCTCGTCTGCCCTGGAGGACAAAGACCCTGAATGAGGAAATCGACAGGAGGGGACAGGTGAGAAACACAGCAGTCAGCCAGGGGTGCCAGTGTACCGAGACAGCTTACTGGTCTCTTCACACGACTTCACTCCCACATCTTGTGTTTTTACAAAAACTAAGTAACTGCTGTTGCTGCTGTTTGTCCAAATTAACCCTTAACGAAAAAATCGGGGTCCCAGGATTTGTTTTAAATCCAATAAGCACCATAACTAGAAAAACTGGTATTTGGGTGTCAGATTACATTTCAAGTGTCACGGCTACGGTCCAAGTGGTTTGAATATATTAATTTCAAAGAGGCTTGTATGTGTGTGTGACAACTGCAGACTTTGTGACAGGGAGTTTTTCCATTAGCATAAATTTTTTAACCGAGTCCCCCTCGACATTAAGTCCCACTCCATCATCCTGTGTGATCTGGAGACAGCGCCGAAGAAAATGACACTATCAAAACCATTTAATGGAATATTTAATTTTAAAAAACACTTTTACAAGTATAGTTTTAAGTGTTTGAAAGGACTAGATGTACTGAAAGGCCGTAAAGCTTCATTTCCACCGCAGAGTGTCTGATTGTGGCGGCAAATGAACAAGCAGGCCGAGGCTGATCAGCAGTGTCAACATGCCTCGATAGCATAACGGAGTCGAGCAGATCCCATAGACCAAAGCCGGAGTGACGGGACCTTGGGACAAATCTGGAATAATGATCTTCTATCCCTGCCAATGCGGCAGCTCGCTCAAATCCCACTTAGAGCGCTTCTCCGGGCCGACAGGCTCGTGCACAGTCCACAGTATCAGCGCTCCTCGACAAGCACACCCCCTTCCCTCTCTGCTACGGGTGAATCAATATTAAGCACTCTTCATCCCCCTCTCTGGATGCGTCAACAGCACGGAGCCCTCTGTGGTGGGGCGATGCCATTTGACAGGCTTTGGAGATTTTAATTCAGGCCCAGATTTTAATAGGTTACGTCTGCAGCAGCGATTTCCTGTCATGATGAGGGATGCTAATGCCGTGCAGCAGACTTGTTTCAGCCACCTTAGCAGCTGGTAATGGCACTGAGGTTTCTCCTGCGCTCACTCCATCTTTTCTCTCACTGTCTCATTCGCTGCTTCTCTTCTCTTCAGGCTGTTGTGCATCCTTGAATTTCAATATCTGAGATACACTAATGAAAAGTAGGAATATTTCCACTTTATAACGCTGTGTGTGGTTTCCAGATAAGGTTGTGTACTAGTGCAACCAGATTCAACATATTCTGTGAGTGTGGTCAGTTTCATTTCCATATTCTGTACAATATTACTTGCACTTCCAGTTAGCCATCATTCTTAGGACACAGGAAGGAAACAGTACAACATGTGTCACAACATGATTGGTTTTCCATTATATCTCATTTATTGAACATTCAGATCAAATGTAATCTCCTCTCCTCTCCTCTCTCCTCTCCTCTCCTGTAAACCCTTCAAATAAATAAGCTCTTCAAGGTGTGACTCATGTATTCACTCCTTTCAGACGGTACAGTCAGAGTGCACGTTTTCTCGTAACACGAAGGGGCTGGCGCTCTGAATGCTCCCGTATTTGTTGTTCCTTTCAGCACGACTACAGCACTGTGCCTTTTCTGGATGTAGCATATGTTTTACTCTCCATAGCTCTATACTAAATGTTTCTTCGATATCTCGCGCTCAGGAGAGATCTAAAATCATACATTGTTATTTTATTTTTGCGTTCCCTCAATGTGTAATTTCCACTATAGATCGTTTATGATAGTTGTCGCCTCAGTGGAATCGCTTGAATTCCGGCTTCGGTGATTGTAGAGAGGTTTCTGCACAGATGGCGACGAACAGTGCAACATTCATCCTCTCGTTCGTCTGTAACACATCCCCGCTTCCCTTCTTCCATCCTTTTCAACCCATCTGCCAATCTAAGGTGGTAAAATATAAGAAGTGATGTGATAAAGCTTTTATCCTCAAACGTGCAGCGTTGCATTAGCAGAGCTCTTCTAGAAGGGTCTTCCCTCCAAGAAAACAGCCCTTTGGCAATTTGGATATCGCAGAAGTCAATATTGCAATTTTAAATTAGATTAGATAAAATTTTAAATATCGCCTTGGGATTACGTCATGGCAGCAACCGGGAGGATCAAAGCAGCTCGACACAAACACAAAGTGTTGAAGATAGTAAAGCAACAAACTGAACATAATGTTAGAGTCTTTAGATTAGATTTGCTGAATGTGGTCGTACTGAGTGTAACACCGGTCTGTGGTGTTTTTCCTGTGCGTGCAGGTGGAGGTCCGCACCAGTTTTGAGGAGCTTTACCGGGTGATGTCACAACGGGAGGAGTTTCGCTGGATGATGCTGAGGATCAAACGCATGGCTGAGCCGTGGGTCAGCGCCATCCGCTCGCTGGCGGCCAAGCAGAACCTGGCCAAGCGTCGGAGGAAGAAGGTGGGTGTAGCACACGGTACATCGCAGTGCACTGGAGGAATCACATAGAAAGTTTTATTTGTCACATGCCAAGGTACAATCTACAGTAAGCAAAGATTTTATATTTTTTATATTATATTATTATTTATCTATTTATTTCCCAGATATTATGAAAGATATTGTATATCACGGGAAACACATGACCAGATATATTATCAGATATCGAGCCAAGCCTAGGATGTGACAGAATAACATATAAAAATGTCAAAAGATTGTTACTTTAAGCAGCCACACACTCGCCCACAGAAACTGGTGGAAGCTGATTTAATCCCACTCTCATAAAGAAATATCACAAGTGAATATTCAGAACTAAATTTATATTTTTATCTTTCTAAAAGTGAGTGGAATGTGACCTTTTTACAAGAACTGTCTGAAAACAGCAGACACACCTCTCTCAGGTGCACACACACACACTCACACTCACTCACTCTTTGGGACACTTGTAGATAACACCACTCTTGCTCAGTGAAGAAACGGTGGTGGGTGAGTCCTGACATGGATATTCCATTGTGTCCTGAGCTGGTAGCAGCTCCCAGCGCTGAATAATGTACTCCACACTTGCCACTGGCCTGGTTAATAATTCACATCACGTTCCCATGATACTTTGGTGCTGATGCAAAGCAGCATCCCCTTTAGCAAAAGCAGAGAGTAGAAGAAACGAGAGCCCTCATCTATCTATATATCTATGGTATATTAACTTCCCTTCTTCTTTGTTTCTCAATTGAATCTACACAATCTATAATTAAACAGTGTTTTTTTCCTGATACTTTGAAAGCCAGTTCTTTATTTCAGCTGCTAAACTCTTTTGGATGTTAATCCTCACATAGTAATCCTTGTACTGGTGTGCTCTGGGACCGGGGCTGGCTGTCAACAGCGAGAAAACACGCTGGTCACTTCAAACAAAGCCGGTTATTACTTCCTGTTCCTGCTGTAGCACACTGTGTTCCCTCACACAACTGAAAACCGTCCGGCGTGTGTATGATGATGTTCGTGTTTTAGCTTCGTTGTGTGCAGAGAAAAAAAGTGGAACTGCTTTCTGACAGCCCCCCCATCAGAATAAACATGTTTTTTGTGCTCCCTTCATTCAGATCTGTTCTAATACAAAACCAGTGGGGTGTCTCTGAATGTTTTTTTTCTGCTTTCTCTTTTGTTTTGGAAAGTAAAGCTGTCAAAATGTCAGTTTTGTCTATTATTATTATTATTATTACATTACACATTTACACTCATTGGAAAACACCCACATTTCTAACTATAACTGTTTCAAGCTAGCGCCAAAAACACCCAAAAAAACAAGACAAGAAATTATGATTAAAAGTGAGAGAAGTGTCAGTTATCTTTTTTTAATTTACATACTTTTTTTCCCCCTCTATCAGATCCTGGTTCACTTGGGCCTGCTGACCAAGGAGTCGGGCTTCAAGATAGCAGAGAACGCCTTCAGCGGTGGCCCGTTGGGCGAGCTGGTCCAGTGGAGTGATCTCATCACCACGCTTTACCTGCTGGGCCACGACGTTCGCATCTCGGCCTCCCTGGCTGAGCTCAAAGAGTGAGTACCGCACACGCTCTGCACTGCAACGTGCTTTACTGCGGGACCTTTTATTCAGCCCTGAGTTTCGGTTGCATTCAGCAGCAACGACCTTTCACCGGTAAGAAACGGCAGCCTGCGTGGAGCCTGAAAAGCGAGATTCAGGGTTGAGAAAGAGCGTAAAGCTGCGCTACTCTCTGGAGCAGGACAGTAAGAGAAGAGTGTGCAGAGACTTTATAAAGAAAAGCAACCTGAAAACATAAAAATGAAGGGGACAGAAACAGGACTTTGAGTCCCAGTGGAAATTACGCCCCTGACCACAGACATGGCAAAGGTGGATAAACAGCCAATATAATAAAAGCTTAACTGGTCTTTGTAGCGTCTCTGCTCTTTATAATCCAAACACAGCCTGAGCCAATCTCAATAATGATTGTTGTGTATCCAGATGTACTTCTGCCTAAGGTCAGATACAGTGCTTCATTCCACTCTGCTGTTTTACATCATTCTCGCTGCACTGTTGTTGTATAATTCAAATGTGAAAAAGGCCTAAAGTCAAGAAAACTTTTTTTGTTTATCACCTTTTCTTTTATCTGGGAAACGTAACAACAGTATTTGTTTGAGGTTATTTGACTGAGGGTAAGCAAATTTAGCTGCTGTGTTCTTTGTTTAATGTTTATTGGTGGTTTTTCCAGGTACAGAGAGTCCTGTCCTTTTTCAAACTCAGACTTAGTTACAGACAAAACAAAGTATCTCAGTGTATTGAAGGACAAATATGTCATTGCTGAGGTTTATTTCTGATATCAACAAATATCATAAACACATATGCTGTTAAAATATGTTCAGTCCCGTTCTTTAGCAGAGCTTTGCATGCTCATTAGTTATCTGTTTTAAACCTGTATGTGTCTTAAAAACCAGATAAAACAAAGACAATACTGCTTGACTTTGTTTAACATCAGATTTTGTCAGAAAAGCGCTGTTTAGTTTAAAGTATTTATATCCAAAATTAAGTCCAAAAGAGTAAATAAAACTATCTTCCCACGTCTCTTAGTTTTATTTCCAAAGATGACGAGTAAAAACCAATTAAATATATTAGACACATGTCAAATGTTTTTATTTTTAAAATTGATTTTAAATCCAAAATGTTCTCCCCAGGATCATGCGCAAGGTTATGGGGAACAAGTCCAGTTGCCCAACTCAGGGTGATAAGGTGGTTGAGCTCATCTACATTGACATCGTGGGCCTCACCCAGTTCAAGAAGACACTGGGACCTTCCTGGGTCCACTACCAGTGAGTACATTTTTTGTTCAGTTCTCTTCGTTAAGAGACAAAACTACTTGCACCGTAACGTTTTGTTTGTATTCTCACTTTTCGTCATATCATCATGTCGGCCGCTCGGTGAATTCTTTAACCCTGCGCTTCAGCTGCCAAGTGCGGTTTGACGGCTTCTCTCACGTAGGCATTGGGTTGAGGCTTGTCTGGCGCTTGGTGGGGACAATGAGTCTATTTTCTTCTCATACATTACCACAATTTCCCAAAAGGCTGAAGGAGCGTCTGTTGTTTGTGATGTCTTCACCAAACCGAGTCTATTCAGTCTACGATTGCTCCTCTGAGGACTGTGGATGAGGCCTTCCCCGTTTGTTTAGAAAAGGCTCTCATCGGTTCCGACTGACAGGAAAGGAGAAGGAACAATAAGTCTGGGGCACTAATGGCCCCGCTGGTTCCTCCTGCTTGTCACCAGGTTTTGTTTGTGAGCGACATAACACCTTAAACTGCATCCGCTTCCTTTGTACCCTGAGGAAATTGATTCAGCCTGGGGCATAATGTAAGGTCCAGATGCTGTTTCCTGAATTATTTCTCCTACTGTTATTGAACACTTATGTCAGAGCACTTCATGTCACTGCACACTTTCTAGGAGTTTGTGAAAGAAGACCTAGATTGTTAGTTGGAGCTATTTTTCTGTTCTTTCTTCTTTCCCTGAATCACGTAACCTTGTGTGTCTTTTATTTTGCCGTCTCCAGTAAAGGGGTGAATTACAAGTCTTGCCTTTGAGGCCTTAGAAACCCTTTTTGAAACTGTCTATATTTTCTCCTGACCTTATTTATCATTCAGGACAGGCAGGGAGACACCCTGTGGGCAGTAACTGCCAGATTTGTTTGCATATCACACCCCAAATTCTTGCAAACAATAACCTATGTCATTATTGTTTCATTTATTCTGGTTGATTTTTCGTGTTGGGGGAAAAAGAAACCAAGCCTGTCAGGCCTCTGTGTGATTAATGTGTTTGTTTATTGCCACAGTCTTCTGGCTATCTGTCTTGCGGTACTGTATCACTGTGTTTTATGCCACTGTGGAAGAATGGGAATACTCTGAGCTATTGTTTTCCCGGGTGGAAAAGTAGAGCCACTGCTGCCCTGTTGTTCTATTTCATTTAATCCTTTCATGCAGTAACTTAATCGGACATTGCACTTTCATCTGCATCAGCACGGCTGCAGAAAATGTGTCAGCGTGTACCGGTTCAGCCTTTGGTGCTGGAGACAATAATCGAGAAATGAAACTGGAGAAGGACTGGTTAATCATCAGCTATATGAGGCCCCACAAGTTTCCATCATTTTTGTCTCTTCATCCCCAGACGAGCTGTCACTTCCTCACTTTCTTTTGCCAAGAACTTTTGTTTTGACACAACACTGTCTGCGTGTGCAGCCTGTGTGTGTGTAATGTGGGTGTAAACTTTAGTTTATTCACAGTGTCAGTGTTGTTGAGGTGTCTGTGGTGCTGTCAAGACAACATCTTCCTTTGGCAGTTGCGTGAGTATTTTTTAGATAGTTTTGTCAGGAATGTGTTATCATCGATCCTTTGCTAAGCCCCCCCTTGTACTTATTGTTGCTATGCCATTATAGAACAGTACATATGGTTTACAATGATAAAACAGTGGGTCTTTAACTGAATTAGAGGCAGAAGAAGATGAAAAAGCAGCGACCGTCAGATTAACTCCTTGGTTGAAAAAGCTCACTTTTAATGCTTCTGCCCGACTCGTATGAAAAGGAGAAACGTTACTAACTCAGAGCTGTGTAATGATGCAATAAAGACTGAGGCTAAAACTACACGTCCCAGCATCCCCGCCAGCTGATGAAACATCTAGAAGACATGAGAATAAGAAATCTGCTTTCTTCTTGTGTTGCAGGGCAGCAATTTATAATGTAATAGTAGAGTATTGAAAGAAAGTTCACAACGTTCAAATCCTAAATAAGTAACCTTAATCTGACATAACCTTTAACACCACATTATAATAAAGTAGCATAGCTAATTAAAGCACATGTTCTTGTGGTTCTCTAAAGATCTTAATATATCACTCTCACTGCAGCCTCATGTTCTCTGCTTAATACACTGAAAATCCAAAATTAGACAGGTTTGCTGTCTCTAGCTACAGTGCTAAGCTATGATTGGACAGTTGCTGTTCGGGTTTAGCAAAGAGTCAGCTGATCAGACGACTCAAAAGAAGCAAAGCTTGTGAGCTTTTCAAAAGTGTCATGCATGTTAATTTATTGCTTAATAAAACAGCATAATTTTGGTTAAGTAGAAAACACTGTGGCTAAAAGGGAATATTTATGGTTCACGCGAAGCCGGTGTAATCCAAAAGTAAACTAAAATGATCCAACGTCGTTAGCCAGATGACAGTTCCAGTAAGATAATGACATTACATTATATTTTTCCCAGCTGCAAGTATTTTATAACCAAATCCTGATGTTGGGCAGTAGTTCAGCCTAATGCTGTTATAGGACAGGCCATTAACTCAAATGCCTGTTTTCATCCAGGTGTTGCCTCGGGGGCCGTGCAGACATGTAATAGACCCTCAGATAGATTCATACAAGACAAATTTTCCATCTGTTCTCTAATGACTCACACGGGACCGCTTTATTTATTGCTGATTTCATGTGGGAGATAATTGGGCCAGGAGAGAAACCTGTCGTTGGCGATAGCCGTTGTCATACATTATCCATTTGGGATCACTTCAGAAGGATTACATTACGGCGAAATTGCGCTGTTACTTTGAAAGCAACATCCCCACTCAGCCCTGCTCGATTGCAATATTGCAGCAAGTGTTACTAAGTGCATACTTGTTGAGCTGAACAACCCCGACTCCTGCCACATTATCATGCCCACTGTCAACTCACCGGTGGCAGTGCAGCCATACTTACATCGTGTAACAGCTCCGGCGACATTTCCCCATCTGTTGAGGATATACTGTATCTACCGGGGACAGAGGAGGGTTGTTTTTCCCCCGGAGCAGAGTGGAGATGGCATGTGGGCATGTTGTTGTTGTTGTTCGGCTCTCAGTCTAAAGTTTCCTCATGGTGAGTGTGTTTCCTAGCTCTGCACTCTCCCAGGGCCTTTCACAGTTCACACAGCCAGCTGCACAGCATCTGCCTGGGCGGAGAGACATTCACCAAGAGAGAGAGGGAGGATTTTTTTAGGTGCAGATGTCTCTGTGTGAGTGTGTATGCTCAGCATCCGTGTCTGTTTACACCTGGCTTCTTCTTATCAGTATGATTAATGCAGATTATTCTACCTCGACCCAAAGTGGGAATCATTTAACTTTATTTACCCACAAGGAAATTCTCCTCTTGGGCGAGATACCCAATAAAACACGGTCATCCTCTCAGGATTTTGTTGCCGTTGAGACGAGCTGTCAAGGAGACGGAATACGTTCGTAGTAGAAACAGATCAGGGAGGAAAAAAACGTGATGAATTGCTTGAGTAGTTTGCGGCAACAGGTAGAAATTAGGTTCCTTTCACTGGCCCTTTGTTTTCCTAATCAAAAAAAATGAAGATAGCCAGGGACAGGGCAGAGAAGACATAACCAAAGCAGCAGCTGGGAAACAGAAGCGGGTAACAATGAGTGAGACGGTGATTGCGAAGCGTGGAATTAAAGGTCAGTCTGTTGTGTGTGGTTCTCAGAATATACACCATCCCCTCTCCTAATTAATCCTGCGCTGTGACCTTTGAATCAGACATGATATTCATCCACAGTCTCACACCTCCACAGGGCGGCTTTTCTCTAGCGCTCCGGCTGACAGTGGAGCCTTCGGACATTATTTAAAATGTTAATATGATGCACTGAACTCAACATTTCTATAGATTTAGGTTATGACCACTAGTTTCAATTATTTCAACTATTTTTTTTCCAAATGAAAATTGTCTGTAATTTTGCCGGATGGGTCTAAATACTGGAACGGTCAATCTCTGCGCACTGTTATCAAAGAACCAGACATTTTCTCACACAGTTGTTAATATTTTATACTGGCGATCTAACTTGGGGAGTTTCATGCCGATCCAAGAAGTGCTCCAGCTGTGAGTCATGTAACATCGTCTGTGGGGAAAAATGAATCTGACTTTTATTTCTCATATAGCTACTCCCTCTTCGCAACTTTATCCCACGTATAAATAAAACCTTTGGCCGGTTGCCATTCAAATTACAAAGGAAAACAAATAATTGCTGTATGTGAACCGGTCTGAAGATGGTTTCCGAATCAACATATTTCACACGGAGCAAAAATAGAATAGAAGAACAGACTAACAGCGAGATATTCCCAGATTCCCAGATTTCCAGATGTAGTGGAAAGTTACCAAACCTTAGCTGGACAAATGAATACAAATAACACATTTTCTGCATCATTAAAACACCTGTGAATGTCACGTTTAGCTGTGAGATCCAGCAACTCAAATAAAAAATTTAAAAAAAGTCTTGATTTTTAAACCAGGGTGAGTTATATACCTGGGATCACTGAGAGTCTGTGCTAGATTACGTTTGGTAGAGCGAGCCAAACCCAACAGTTCATTGTCTAGGTTAATTAACTGTAGTCTTATTTCTTTGATTTCTGTGAAGATAACTATAATTACATGTGTAAGGTGTGAAGAGTTTGTCCTCCAGCACACGACATAATAACACTGACTCTATTTGTATAGAGACGGCTTGTAGAAGTGTTTCTGGGTTTCATTAAGAGCGAATTTAACTGAAACAATCTGCTTCTGGTCTGTAGCATTAACACTTTTGTTTTGTCTCCGCGACATCGTAGGTGCATGCTGCGGGTGCTGGATTCATTCGGGACGGAGCCTGAGTTCAATCACGCCCACTACGCCCAGTCCAAGGGCCACAAGACGCCCTGGGGGAAGTGGAACCTCAACCCACAGCAGTTCAACACCATGTTCCGTAAGTCGGCAGGATGTCAACACACACTGTAAACCAAGAAGTGCTTCTGTCAGTTTAAAGAAGAAGAAGAAGAAGAAGAAGAAAAAAAAAAACAAGCCCTGTGGCGCAATTCTGCAGGATTTAAAAAACTGTTTACCACTAGTTTTTCTAATGAAAAGCATCTTGTATCCAACTTTTCTGGTTTAAGAGTCCTCTGAGCGAACTGACTAAATGTTGTAATTGGAAAAAGATGCCTCATCCGTCCCAGTTCTTCAAGCAGGTTGTGCTGTGCTGTGCTGTGCTGTGCTGGTTGTGCTTTGCATAACTCTCACACAAAAGTCCTCCCCTCTGTTGTTTACATAAGGTCAAGTTGCCGAACACAGCTACTTGCACTGTAAATTAGTTTATATGTTTATTATTTCCTACGTCTGCAGTCCCAGTCAGGTTTTGAATGAGATGTTTTGGTTGGAAAAGAGGCAGATATAAGACTGAAAATCCAGCGCGGCGCTAGCTAATGGAATATCATCGAGGAGATTAAAGGAGAAGTAAGAGGTCAGATGCTCAGCTCTCCATTTTGCTGTGATTATGAATGTAGGACGTAGGGGTTTTACTGCTCTCTGTGTGTGCATGACTCCTACTGTGAGATCACTCTGTAACTGGAGTCAAGCACATTCGCTGTGGTGGATGAGTGGCGGCGGTGCAGCAGAGGAGAGAGAGAGAGAGAGAGGGAGAGAGAGGGGAGCCAGCTCTCCCCCGGGGATGTTGACCTTTTCCCCATGGCTAAGAGAAAGTGAAATGTTACTCCTATGGTCCCTGTTTGTGAGGTGAGGCCAGGAGCCATCCAGAATACCACCGTACTTGAATAGGCTCTTTGTCCTCTCAATAGGGTATGTCTCTCTCATAACACACTGGGGCTTTTGCACAAAATCCAGTTAAGAGTCGCTAGGTTAGATGATATCGCTGGTGAAACAAGTGCACAGTGGTTTGGCCGAGTGTTAAAACCATAGAATGGCATCACTCCAGGCACGAGAGACGAGACAGACCCCCCCCCCCCCCCCCCCCCCTACCCTGCATTGTGCTGCACAACAGCTTGTCCTGAGGCTGAAGAATTTGTGCACCATGCAATGCAAACAGCTTATTACATTAACAAATCCAAGGGTGTTGACGTAGCTATCTGAGGTTTCAGTCCTGGCACGAAGTAATATTTGCACACTGAAGTAGAAGCGTGTATTTCTGAGCAGGTGTTTCTGTCTGTCGGTTTACAGTGGGTGGAGTTTATGGTTTAAGAACATTTTAGTGATGGTGTCAGGATGTTAACTCCTATATTCAGTTTCTCTCCCCACTAATCTGGTTCTTTTTATGTTATTGGAAAATACAGTGTGCTGTAATGATCTAGTTAGAAGTAAACACAATTAAAACTTCATCTTTACTTCCTCAAAGCTTATAAAAATAAAATGTAATATTTGTGTCCCCAGGTTTCAACCCACCTATTGAATGTAGACGTAACAATAGACAAATCAGGTTCCAGTAGGTGATTTTTTTTTCTAGATTTGGTTTGGTCCATTTGTTACGATTAGGCAGTGCACCATAAATCATTGGTGGGGGGAATTGGGAGTTTGTGGCCTCTGGCCAATAAGACAAGACAAGGCCAAATTGACCTCATTAATCTATTTCAGAGTCGGGATAGCGGCGAGTGTTTTCTAGTGTACAATTTGTGTTTGAATGGGCTGTGTGTCTTAGTTTTGTTGGCTCTGTTTCCCAGCACAAGTCATATATAATCAGGAGAGGCTGGAAATATAATGTAGTTAACCTTTCTCTGTAGGTCAGCGTGACATGTAGACACTCAAGTCTCATGAGTTGAATTTGTTTTGTATACACTTCATTAGCATAAAAACAAGTTTGTTACAAAGGACTTCTTGATTTAGGATATAAACCTGAACTGAGCTTTACCGACTACAAAGAGATCCAGACTTCATCTAATTATTTTGGAAACAAAGATGATTATGAATAATGATCCTTCTTTTAAAGCCTCTGCACTGTTGTCTGAAGATCTCATAAAGAAGCATATCCAATACATGAGTAAGAAATCAGCTCTGCTAACCATGTTTCTCTTAAAGGTCTCATCTTGTACAGAGTGAGATTTCCATTTCTTTTTTTGATCACAAAGCAGGTCCAGGTTCTATATTAATACTGTGAAGGTATCAAACCTCAATCCATGGAGAAATTTACATAGCACATGTTCAGACACTGAGCCTTAAAAGACTGCAGCACAGGCCAAGTTGTTATTCTAACTTTATTAACAACACAACACCAAGTGGTGATTCCGTCGTTGAGCTAACAAGCTGTTGCCAAAACTAAGACTCCCATTTTACTCCTTTTAAGACGTCAGGTTGCTGCAGAAAGTCTTGTTACTTGTAAATGCACCGCAGTCTGTTTTGTAAAAGCTGCTTTCTGTTCCCTGATGTTACTTGTAAATGCACCGCAGTCTGTGTTCGCAGCCTATCAGGGTCATCAGTAAAAACATACAGTAGCAATCGCTTCCATATGTCTGCTTATGTCCTTTCTTATGTGTTGTGCGTGTGTCCCTGCGGCTGGATGTTAATCCCCAACGAAACCGATGATTAATACTGATCAGAGCTCGAACATAGCAGCAGATAATATTTATCTTTGAAGCCCTGCCAACTACGTAATTGACTCTGAGATCTGCCAGGCTGATAGCGCCTGGAAAGCTTTGATTGATAATGTCGCTAGCACACCCACTCACTTAAGGCTTTTAGTTTTTCATCTGTGTGGAATCAATAGGACTGGCGTTGTGTTCTTTGACTTTGTTTCTCCGGCACGACTTCTCTACGTTGTCCAAAGCACAAATATATACGTTTTACTACACACACTTTATGTCTTGATTTCCATGCAAATTATGATGAAATTTGAACAGGGGTTGACAGAGTTACTCTTGCTTTTTCCTGAGCTGAGCTAATGCAGAAATGAGAATAGTATTACTCTTGGAAAGAAAGCAGACTTTACGTTTTAATGTTGAAGTATTCTTTAAAAAGGACAAAGCTGTTGCTGCTGAATTGAACCTAAAGGTCAAGGTGTTGTAATAGACACACATCATTATTCATTAGTTCTTTGGCAGGTGGTAACGTTTATATTCCAATAACTAAAGAGATGAAAATAGCTACTGATTAGAGTGAATTACTTACAGATTAAATGCACTTATTTTTTCATGGTTGTGCCGTTGGCAGTCCTCCAGAGTTCAAGTTTCACTTCGCCCCATGCGCAGATCTTCTTCTTCTTCTCTGAAAAACCCATCAGTTAAAATCTCAAAAGTTTTCTTGTGTGAAAGCGTTTCAGGTGTATCTGATTTATTTTCACCCTTCAGGCTCATTCAGACAAGTTGTAGAAGTCTTTGATGTAGAGTTTTCAAAGCACTGGAGATTTTAGTGCTGATGGTGCATCTTGGCAGTTTGAAATCTTTTATTTATTTTATTTTTGCTCCGTCCAGCACCCCAGAAGTTAGTTTCTTGTAAAAATGAATCTGCTTTCTCAAGTGTTGGGCCAACTTTAATCACATAATCCTTAGTTTTTTGACTCAGGATTATATTTGTCTGCTGCATTTTCTTCTGCAGGTACCATTGTGTGATGGTGTAGTGTAGTCTGTTTCTACCACTGACTTAGTGAGACTTACCTGCTGCTTTAACGAGCACAACAGAAGCCCCTGCACAGCCCCTCTCGCCTTGTCAGAGAAGATTATCCTGCCTTTAAGATTATTGCCGACATTTCTACACCCCGTTCCTCCGCTCAGCTTGACCGGGTTGTACCAATATTGACTCCCAATCAGACAAGAGTGAACCCAGGTTTCCTCGCAAAGCAAATTTGTCCATGCACTCGCAAGTTTGTGAAGAGCAACAAAACAGCTGCCTCTGCAGCAACACCGTCCTCCCCGGCTGTTTGTTAGCTAATAGCGAATGAAGCTGTGGCAAGTTGAGTGACTTTTTGAGTGGCGGCTCTAGTGGGGAAAGGAGGCATCTGTTGCCAAATTGCATGAGGGCCGAACACTAATTAACGGCTCGTCCTGTTTACACAGTTAGTTTGCAAGATGAGTGTTAGTGCCGCCTCCTCCCAGTGCCCTGGACCATCTCCGCCTGTTTGCCATTAGAAACACACTTTACTTGTAATCATCAGTGGTTATGTACCGACATGTTTGTATTTGTTGAAAATTAAAATGTGCTGCAAATAGTTTTCTTTTTTTTAATTTAATTTCGTCCTGATTCTTTTTCAAAGTAACCAATTATATCATCCTTAAATTGGTGCTAATTGAGGTGAAGACAATTAGTTAATGTCAAATTTAGACTTGGTCGATTGTTCTTTCTTGTCACTCCCCAGATCAGCCACTTTAATTTGCATGACAGAGGCAGAGATATCCAAAAGATATCCAAGACTTTTAGTCTTTAGGAACACTGCATATCCCATAATGCAACTCCCTTCCTGGTAAACAACATCTTTTCAAACTAAAATCAAACATTATTCCCTCAGTTTTTAATGGATTTTGGTGAGTGCGCTTGTTGAAAGAAGTGTTATTGTGCTATTTATACTGTTCTTATTAATATTATTGTTTAATCACCCGGTATTACATAGACACTCCAGGTATTTTGGAAACAGTTGCCGCCCACACTGTCACCTCAGCCAGACCTTTATAACATCTACTCCCACACACTCCTGTGCTCTCTCTCTCTCTCTCTCACACACACACACACACACACACAGCAGTGACTGAAAGGTTCCTCTGTGCATTGTAATGCGGGGAAGTGCAAAACAGGAACAGGATTTGAATACAATAGATCTTAAAACACACAAATTGAGACATGCAATCATGTGCACTAGTCAACTGGAAATTATATTATTCTTTCAACGTTGCACAAATGTATTATAATTGTGATATGAATTATAATCGTTAAAGGGTGTTATACAGAGACTTCTGTTCGTGCCCTTTCCAGTCGTTAGGAGAAAAATGCAACAGCTCATTTTTGTTCAGTAATTGCTTGGTCTGGCGCTGGGCTCATTTACTCTGCATAACATGTCTATTGCTCTGTTTCTTTTCTTTTTTCATTTTTATGTGTGTTCCTAAAGATATTGAGTCAGAGCCAGTGTGTGAGCTTTGGCAAACTTTGGCTTTTTGTCGAGTGGGAGAAAATGTCACATTCCAGCCAACTCCCAGACAAAACACACTTCCACCTTGTTTGTGAAACTACTGTGACATAGTTGAACTTTAACAGTACGTCATTGTCTGCGCTGTTATCTGCTGCATCTCTGTCGTCATGTGTGAAATGTCACGATGCTTCCTGTTTTGTAACACAGAGGGCGTTTGCAGCAGCTGAATCCGAATCTGTTTTAAATGTGAATTTGCGGCCGCGGTGTCTGAGATTCTTTGCTGAAATTATCCCAGTAAAATTTTTTTATTTACTCCACTGGAGCGAGCTCTGAGATCTCCCTCGACTCGCTGACCTTAATTTGCCTCTGTAGTAAGAGCGTCGTGGTAAAAAAGCGATGTCCGACCGCAGCAGCTCCCGCGGGGCTCCGACACATACCACAACCAACCCCCTCCCTCTCCACCTGGGTCATTCACTTAGAGGGGGTCATAGTGAGGTCTGCTTTTTTTTCGACCCTGCGTGAATTTGATTTTTAATTATATTATTAAGCTTCATTAATGTTTGATTGACTCTTCTCAGTCCGCGCTCCATATCCTTGTCCTCACATTTGTATTGTACAAGGCAGATGGCAGCGAGGGGAAAGCACTGCCAGCTCCGGGCTCCACACTTGACCTGCTCATCTCGTGGTTCCCATAGTAACCAGTCATCACTGGGCAATAAGGAACAGAGGGGAACAAAAAAAAAAAAAAAAAAAACCCAGAGGGGTTGTCGAGTTGTGTTGTGCAAATGTGTCTCTCTCTCTCTCTCTCTCTCTCTCTCTCTCTCTCTGGGATGGATCTGTGCTAAACGCTGAGGCTGAAATGGGTTTTATTCAACTGTGTGAATAGCACAAACACACTCACCATGCGCTTCTCCACCTGATCTCCTCGCACTTTGCCTTATTCAACAGATTTAGTACTTAGCATTTACTTCAAGGTGTCCTACTGCACTGAAGCCTTAGCGCGCTGTCCCTCATTTGTAAGGCGCTTTGGATAAAAGCGACTTACAAGGGAGTAAATGTAATGTAATGTAAGATTTATTTTTTGTTTCTGCCTCAGTGATTAAGAGGTGGCTAACTACGCCAGAACTCATTTGTCGCTTTATTCCCTAAGAAGTGATTTTTGTCTTGCTGTAAACCACATTAAAATACATCATAATAAGCCCTTTGAGACACACACACACACACATATATATGTTTATATATAAATGTATATTTATTTCCGTATGCTTCTTATGTGTTACAGCTCACACCCCAGACAACAGTTTCCTGGGCTTCGTCGTGGAGCAGCACCTCAACGCCAGCGACATCAAGCACATAGACGACATCAAGAGACAGAACCAGTCGCTAGTCTACGGCAAGGTCGACAACTTCTGGAAGGTACGGTGATCCTTACTCTACTCGCACACATTTTACGATATTACTGACACGCTGTGCACATTTTTATGTGCTGAAACATCTAAATTATAGGACATGAGAGTATTCTTGAGAAAAGCTTCTTTGTTATCTATATACTGTGTTTTTTAACCACCACATAGACACATTCACTCGGATTCAAACCCTTTTTAAGACTTGTACGTTGTGACATACACAAATGTACATAGATATATATATATGTGAAGATGAAGGTGAGGTGCCAAAGAGCTGCAGCACACCAAAGGATAACCCATTTTTAGACCTACTGAGAGCTCTGCAGTGAAACTCTTTGAACAACCTTGGGTAAAACTTTCACATGAAACTTAATAATAGTCTGGTTTAGTAGCTCAAATTCAGCTTATCGCTTTCTCCGCTGAGTTTTTAATATATTCAAATGCATGCTCGCACTGCGGCACAGAGACCAGGGGATTACTGTATCCGAGACAAAAAACGACTTAGAGACTCGGAGAGATTTGCACATTGTTTGGCATGCCGTGGATGGTTGGATTACTGCCCGCGCCTTGATGAGCTTTCAGCCGACACCATGTATGTTTCATAGCGGGTCGTTCCAGATCCAGCTGACTCCCTTTAGATGTCTGACAGAGTAACTCGGCGCGATGATAATAACGGCTACAAACGTGAATTGTTTTCACGTCACACGCCTGCAGTGTGGATGTCTTCTAAGATGAAGATGAACATATGGAGGATTAATTAATAAGCCTCAATTGACTAATGACGTTAAACTGTAATATCCCATCAGTCAATCATTGTTTGTTCCTCTATGCTTAATCTAACTTAACCAACTCATTGACTTCATGTTCTTACACAATGGCTCGTCGTAATAACATTATTTGCACAAGATGGCTCATAAATCATCATGAAACACTCAGCAGGTGCACTTTATTTCAGACTTGATGTCATTTGATACTTTTAATTATATAAACCGTTCATGTTTTCATGCAATTTAACACATTTTTAGTCGGTTTGTTCAACTGCATTCGTACGACTTGTCACTTGAAGCTGCATGTTTCAGCCTTTATCCATTACTTTAAGTAATGAACTGTTTATTTATGATCACTTTTATGTCTTACTTTTTAGTTTAGTTTTGCAGCAATGAAATTTCAGTATTTTCAAATAGGTTGAGCTCCTCCACACCCTCCACCGTGCGGCCCCTGCTAAGTACCAACCGGGCTATTTTCCAAACACTGCAGAATAATCCTGAATATAACACATGTGATATGTTTGAAGTTAAAGTAGTAAAAGAGCCTTGATTTCTGCTATGGTTACCTGTGTGAGGGGAGAGAACGGGCATATGTGTGAACAAATAAACATTCATCCAAACATAATGTTTAAGTGCCCTTGATCCAGACACTTAACTCCCATCTGCACCAGCAGAACTGCCCACTCTGCTTGTAGTTGGCAGCTCCAAGCGTGAACTCCTCCCTCCAGTAAAGCGAGCCAGAACCAGGAAGTGCAGTGTTTGGAAAATACCAATTCGAATCCAAGCTGGAAAATATCACCGGAAAACACAGTCCAAATGTACCTAACGTAAAATATATTCATTAGCGAAACTTTTACAGTTTGAATTTCAAAGCCACGTCGTAAAAGCTCTGAAATCCCGATGGTGTTAGACTTTTTTTTTTAATCCGGAGGTAGCTGCTGTGCTGCTGTGGTTTGCGGCCTCTGGAGTCAGAACATACGGAGCAGTGTGCCATTCAGTGTAGCTTTAAAAGGGCAGACCGGGGAGCCCATCAACTCACAGCAAGCGGCATTAGCTGCTAATCAGACTCCCAGGCGTGTTCATTACCTCCTGCTTTTAATTAAAGGGCCATTTTGGGGCAGAGTGATAACGAGCTGCCTGCCTTTACTCCGTTTTCCCTCCCTCCCTCCTTTTTTTAAATCACACCGTCCTTCGATCTCTTTCTCTGCACTTGAGAGGTTTCATTTTAGAAATGATATACCCACTATTTGAAATAGAAAGCGGGACTTACTCTAAGGAAATCATTTCTCACATGAAGGTAAAATTCACAGTGGAGTTATATTCGGGTCATGAGATTAATTATCTAAAGACTCACTAACTAACACTTGTGGAAGGTGCAGTTTTTATTTTTTTAAATGCAGCAATAGAACCAAGTCTCTTTTTAGCCCTGACAACACTGAAAAATTAAGTCCAGGTGTATTTATCACCTATAAAATCTTCCATCCACCATTATTATTACATACCCATATTTAGGTCTTTCCCTTCTTCATTATTATTCACAGTAGATTTGAATATTTAAAACAAAAGGAAAATTAATTATCAATTAACAATAAATAATTTGGACTGAAATAATGGAGAATAAATGCTTTTTAACCGCCGATCGACACCAATCTAATGTTGTGTTAATTTAACTGAACAGGAAATGCTGCAGTCCTGCTTCTCCTTTCACATCCTTTGTAAACATTTCCTTTCAAGCGGCACGCAAACTGGTGCCACGCTTCTTTTTACAACATCCCCAATAGCGATGTTTATGATTTCACATGTAGGACTTTGCTTCGTGGGAATCATAAAACAAATTAAAGATAAACTTTGCGCGAGATAAGAAAAGCCGGAGAACATCATGTGGATTAGAAAAATAAGAAATGGAAACGGTATTTCCAGATGAGTCGAGATAAAGACACCGAAACTGGAAATGTGTAAAGAAAACGAGACGCCAGATGATGTCTCCTTCACCAGCTTTTCATTTTGACAGGTTAATGTGGGTCAGGCAATTAATAGTCTTCATGTAAAATGCAGCCTAATGAAAGACTCTCTCTGTCTGATCAATATGCAAATGTGCTCAGGTCACACTTGTCCTACAGGTGTACGACATGAACCAGAGTGTGAAGCAGACTGAGTAATCATCCCCACACACACACACACACACACACATATGTTCGCTCCTCATTCACAGTCATTCTTCGAAGCTTCGTGTTCATTTCACATTTTTATAAACACTCGTGTGACTGAAAGTGAAAAGGAAAAGAAAACGCGATGCACACCAGATGCTTTGCAGTGTGCATGAGTTCCTCAGTTTCATAAGAACAAAAACAGTCTCCTTTGCCAACAAGAACATTTCGCAAAGCTCGTTAGTTTTGGTGTTGCACATCCCCAGCATGTGTGTTGTGTAGTTGTTTGTGGTTACATGAAGCTAATTTCAAATATCTTTTAAAACCAAACGGATTAAACTTGTGCATCTGGATTAAAACCTTCTCAGGAGACGACATGCGGCAGGTGGTGCCGATTTGGATGTTACCGTCAGCACTTGATATCTGGCTGAAATTTCGCAATAATAAATGACTGAGCTAATTAACAGTGTGCAGATTTTTGGGCAGCACAGGGGAGGGTGGCTCTGACCGCTGCAGGGCCTGAAATAACACAAGGTTACTGAAGCAAAAGTGTAGAAATCACAAATTCAAGCCATTTTACCGCATATTATTTTATTGTGTCACTTCTGATGTTTGTAGCTGAAACTCATTAGTTAAAACATATATGGTTCTTTCATAGCATACGCAGACAAAGCCGCAATTGATCATATTTATGTTGTCAACGCCTAACAAACCTGTGATCGACTGTAGTGAATAAATTTCTGTTGAAATTTAAACTGGAGACTCGGTGAGGGAGCCGGTCGGACGAGTGACCGACGGCGGCAACAGACTGAGCGACATCCTGGGGATTAAAGAGACGGGTGGTTATTTTGTTGTTGAGGAGGCAGTGTTGATGGGGAGACCCAAAATAAAATAGCCGGACCACCTCTGAGGGAACCGTTTCCATAGCAACCCAGTTGGAGGGAGTGGAAAGGCAGAGAAAAAGGAGCCGTCTCAGTGGCTACCTGTCTTCTTTTCTGTTAGTGTTTACATGTTTGTAATATATGTTCCCTTCTAAGTGGTAAAGATTTAATCACCACTAAGGCATAATGGCTTTGTACCTGGACTCACTTCATCATCGTGCCACATGCAGATAGAATCGGTCGAGTTGTCCCCGTTAGAAAAAAGGATTTGATGAGGCGATGGGGGGGCACGGATAAAGGTGAGAACGAGTGGGACGTACAGAGAGGGAGAGCTGCAGGCCCTTGGCAGCAGATCAGAGGACGTGGTGAAGAAAGACAGATCACACCGGGCTGACAGACACACACACACACACACACACACACACACACACACACACACACACACACACACACACACACACACACAGAGCTGGCATATGCAGAGCAGGAAGGGCAACAATCCTACACTCTCACCCTCGCAGGCTCATAGACAGACAACAGTGTGTTTCATCCCCCTTTCATGATGGATAACCGAGCCGGATTGAACATTAAACCGCCTTTCGTTTTTACTGTGCTCGTCTGACCCGATGAAGCAATCCCTTGTGCCTTTAAACTAGCGTGAGTGCCGGTGTAGAAACTTGAATTTGACATTTGCGGAAGCAGCCGGGTTAGAGTGGGAAATGTTATTGTGGTTATGAAATCGACTTCTTCTGTCACAGATGTTTTATTGGATTAGACCTGAGATGTTTCCAGAAGGAGCTGTTTGTTACCACTTTACCTTTACAGCTCAGATCTGTTGTGGTAAATATCACGTTGTTCTGTTTACTCGTGGTTTATTTCAACTAGAAAACATTTGAAATGTTAAAATAAGATTAGATTAAATTAAACTTCACTGAAAGCAGTTGAAATGTCAGTCGTGTAGGTGATATCTTGAGTTTGATTGGCCAATTGCGGTGTAAGTCTTGAAGTGTATAAACTGAAAGAAGATGCAAGTTGAAGTGTTGACTGAAAGTTTTGTTTCATGGCTGAAGGTCTGGCCCCTGAAAGGATTTGAAGTGTCAGGTGAAGTATGATTATTTGAAGCAGATTAAATCAGAGATGAATAGAAAGCAGTTCAACCGTCAGTTTGAGAGAAATGTTTGAAAGCAGCAAAAAAAAAAAAAAAAAAGATGGATG